TGATTCTCAAATCAGAGCGCAAAGGTGAAATGTTTCCTCTAAATCTCAAACCCATCAAAGGGAATCCAGAAATCTGCTTGTTATCAAAAGCACAATCTGACGAAAGCTGGCTGTGGCACCGAAGGCTTTCTCATCTCAACTTTAAAGATATCAACAAACTTGTCACTGGAGGTCATGTTCGTGGTCTTCCATTGCTCAAGTACGATAGAGAACATTTGTGTGCGGAATGTGAAATGGGGAAGCAGAGTCGTCAAATTCATCCATCAATCATAAACACAAAAGTTGATGAAGCACTAGAGTTACTTCACATTGACTTGTGTGGTCCATCATCAATCGAAAGTATCGGCGGTAGCAAGTACATTCTTGTTATTGTTGATGACTTTTTGCGTTTTACATGGGTGTTCTTTCTGAAGTTTGAATATGAAGCAACTCACAAACTAAAGATGTTCATCAAGCAGGTTGAAGTACAACTGAAGAAAGTCGTTCGGAACATCAGGAGCGACAATGGACTGGAGTTCAAAAATAAAGAATTCCAAGAATTCCTGGCGGAAAGAGGAACTAGTCACAACTTCTCAGCTCCCTACACACCTCAACAAAACGGAATAGTCGAGAGGCAAAACCGATCCTTGTGTGAAGCAACTCGAACCATGCTAAATTTTGCTTCTTTACCTTTATATTTTTGGGCTGATGCTATATCTGCAGCTTGTTTTACATAGAACAAGTCATATCTCAATAAGCGATTCACGCTCACTCCTTATGAGATCATCAACAACAGGAAGCCGAACGTCAAATTCTTCCATGTGTTCGGTTCCCGGTGCTTCATCTTCAATTCTAAAGAACATCGCAACAAATTTGATGTCAAAGCCGATGAAGGGATTTTTTTGAGCTATTCTCTCACTTCTAAAGCTTACAGGGTATTAAATAAACGTTCGAGAAAAATAGAAGAGACGTATTACATGACCTTCGATGATAGCTATGTCAAAAAGTCAAAAGCCAACATAGACTCAACTGGTGAAATCTTTCCTCAAACAGGTCATGTCACAACATCAATTGCAAATCTCTTTGAGAAGTTTGTCGAGTTATTTGATGAACCAGAAAAGGCCATTAACTCGGAAGCCAGAGCAGCAGACAACAAGGTGGATCATCTGAAGCAACTAGTAGAAGATGCTACAAGGCGAATGAATGAAGGAGTATCCAGCGCTTCAGTCGAGGGGGAGCACACTGGTACTGCAACATCCGAAAGTACTGTGGCACCCAAAGGTACTGTAGCACCCGAAAGCTCCGCAGCACCAGAAGGCACTATAGCACCCGATGGTACTGTAGCACCCGAAGGTACTGTAGCACCCGAACGTTCCGCAGCACCAGAAGGCACTGTAGCACCCGAAGGTACTGTAGCACTTGAACACTCCACAACATCTGAAGGCATAGGAGCACCCAAACTCTTCACTATACCCGAAAGTCCGACTGTTCAAGAAAGCTCATCATTCGAGGGGGAGAATGCCAATATGCTTTATGACGATGAAAATCAATCTGAACCAGAAGAGATGGTAAACACTGAATTGGATCCTTCCTATGATCCAAATTATCCTCCTCTCGTCAAATGGACCAAAAATCATCTTGTCTCTCAAGTTGTTGGTGGTGTTTCTGAAAACGTTCTGACCCGATCACAACTTAAGACAAAACAAACTTCCCTATTTTCCAAAGTAGAATTCTGTATGTTTAATTCCTTCGTTTCAAAAGTTGAACCAAAAACAGTTAACACTGCTCTTGATCACTCCGATTGGGTTCAAGCCATGCAAGACGAACTGAACGAATTCGAAAGGAACAAAGTTTGGCGCCTCATTCCAACTCCTCAAAATGCATCAGTTGTTGGTCTCAAATGGGTATTCAAGAACAAAATGGACAAGGAAGGGAATGTGATTCGAAACAAAGCACGTCTGGTAGTGAAAGGATACTGTCAGGAGGAAGGAATTGACTATGAAGAGACTTTCGCTCCAGTTGCAAGGCTGGAATCTGTTCGCATTTTTCTTGCCTATGTAGCACACAAAAACTTCGAGGTCTACCAAATGGATGTCAAATGCGCTTTTTTGAATGGAGAACTCGAAGAAACAATCTATGTGGAGCAACCTCCTAGCTTTGTCAATGAGAAGTTCCCAAATCACTGCTATATTCTGGACAAGGCGGTTTACGGTCTGAAACAAGCTCCTAGGGCCTGGTATGAAACGTTAACAAAGTTTTTAAAGATGTCTAAATTCAAACAAGGTTTGGTTGACCCAACCTTCTTTCGTAAGAAAGAAGGTAACCACCTTATGATTGTACAAATTTATGTCGATGATATCATCTTTGGCTCAACGAATCCTAGCTTAACAGCTGAATTCAGAAAGCTGATGGAGACTAAATTTGAAATGAGCTCCATGGGTCTGATTAACTTTTTTCTTGGATTAAATATTAGACAGGGACCCGAAGGCATCTTTATCAACCAGGAAGCATACACCAAAACTCTTCTTGCCAAATTTGGTATGATGGGAGATTCAAAGGTAAAGGTTCCAATGGCATTCGGCACCAAACTCACCCCTTCACTGGAGAAACCTGCAGTTGACATTACACTATACCGCCAAATGATTGGGTCCTTAATGTATCTTACTGCTAGCAGGCCTGACATCATGTTTTCCGTATGTTATTGTGCTAGGTTTCAGGCGAACCCACGAGAACCACATATGCTTGCAGTGAAAAATATACTCAGGTATCTGAAGCAAACTACCTCTCTCGGTCTATGGTATCCATCCAACTCAGGCTTCTTCGTTCAAGCCTTCTCTGATGCAGACCTTGGAGGATGTGGTTTAGATAGGAAAAGCACAACAGGGGGTTGCCAATTCCTTGATGGAAAATTGGTCAGCTGGCAGTCAAAGAAGCAAACCCGCGTTTCCCTCTCTACAGCCGAAACAGAGTACATCGCAGCCGCCTCCTGCACATCTCAAGTCATATGGATCCAAAGCCAGCTCAGAGATTATGGACTTAACATGAAAAAGATCCCACTATATTGCGATTCAGAAAGTGCAATTAGGATCTGTCATAATCCAGTGCAACACTCTAAGACCAAGCATATAGCACTGAGGTATCACTTTATTAAGGATCATGTGGAGGATGGAAATGTCGAAATTCACTTTGTTCGAACCACTGACCAACTGGCCGATATATTCACCAAATCCCTACCTGAAGCCAGTTTCAATAAAATCCTTTATGGTCTAGGCATGATGGAATCAGAATCGGTACCAAAGACATCATCCCAAAGTTAAAAGTAAGGAGCGAAATGAACCGAACGTTCGGTCTATTTCGGGTTCGGTTAACATGGGAACCGAAATGAACCGAACGTTCGGTCTATTTCGGGTTTGGTCCCACAGCACATATTTTCACTCAATCTCAAAAAGGTATTGTCTAAGGTTGTACACTTTTGTAAAGCTGTTTTCCAAAAATCCAAAAATATTTTTTTAGGAACCGAAATGAACCGAGCGTTCGGTCCATTTTGGGTTCGGTTCAAATTTTTATTATTATTATTACTTATTCTGTCTTGGTTTTCCTCTTTTGTAAAGCTGTTTTCCAAAAATCCAAAAATATTTTTTTTGGAACCGAAATGAACCGATCGTTCGGTCCATTTCGGGTTCGGTTCATTCATTTTTTTTTCTCATTTTGTTTGGTTTTTCTCTTTTCAAAATCTTAAAATCTCCAAAAATATATTTTTTTTATTCTCGTTTAAATATAGCTGGGATAGGTTTGTTTCTCACACTTTATATTAACTAGTTAAGCGTCCCTAGAAGCATGTTGCTGCATGTTGTCCAAAGCCTCAACTGATTTTGAATAAAAGCCTTAATGACTTGGTATATACAAACCTTGTCTTCCCAATAAGGCTGCTTCATTTATTCTAATCCTGAGCTACCTTACTCTTTTCTCATATGGGTTATGAGTTTCCTGCTTGGTCACTATTTTCAGCAGAGGTACTATCGCTTCTCTTCACCACCTTACTCTTCTCCATCATATTTCGGTCCCATATAGTAACCCTTGAGACTCTCAGAATTAACCACTGGGGTTTATGGTTACAAAATCTCTGTGTTTATGATCTCAGCCACGTGTCACTACGTGCTTAGTGAAACCCAAAATTCAAAACCTAACATGAATTGACGGTCAACATGAAATCTCTTTTTGGTTGTGCGATTCTTATGAATTTGTTATTTACCATAACATTTCTTCCCTTAGAATTCAGTTTAATTTTTTTTGAGATTTCACCATCATATATCTTCTCCAAGTCACTATATCTATTATCCAGCCTACTTGTTCAACAGACCACATCGGTCTCACAAGTACTTCATTTAGTCTCGGTCTTATGTCAAGGTCCGGGATTCTAAACTGAAGCGAAAGCCACCCTTTTAAGCCTTACAAAAAGATGCCTTTCAACACTTCTTAGAAAGTGATTGATCGTAATTCAACGGGAATCCATACAAACACTTTAAGGTCTCTCTTGACCTTGAAGAAAGTGATTCGTACCCGGGATCAACTGTTTTGTGTCTATATTGACATCACTACTTCCCATATATATCTCGCTTTATTTCCTTATCTTTCACACTCTATGCACGAAAATCTTTGATTTTCCAAAATTCTCGTTCGGTTACCTTATCATCTTATGTTTGGATGACAGTTATTAAACAGATAAGATGCTGACTCAGCCGACAGAGTAACGGCCTCAATAGTGAGGTGACGGGCACGCGTGCAAAACGGAACAGTTCTTCTCTCTCATGCGTAATCATCGGGGGTGCCAACCATCGCGATTCAGTCAAATCCAAAACCGTTTCATGTATCAAGAAGATTTGGGGATGATCTTTCTCTCTCCTCTACCCACAGTATAAAAGGAACACATCTGCTTCATTCTAAACTTACCACAATCAAAACTCAAATGAGAAAAATCTGGCGATTTCTCATCTACTGTTCATCATCTTCTACCTTCAACAATGGCGGATTCTTCATCAGTTCTGAAAACCTCCTCCTGCACAAATATTCTTCCCATTCGGGCTCAACAAAGCCTGGTTATTGATCTCAACCCTAAAGCTTACGAGAATTATATGTATCCCATGGTCGAGTGCCTCAAATACTCTCCATTGGTGCTCGCTCTTTCCAAAGTCGAGGTTGTGCTGATGGAATGCCTTTCCAAGGTCTTCTCCACCGCCCATTACGATAGATCAGTGGATCGCATCTACTTTGATCTTCTTTCTCACAAGACCTCCATCTCCAAGCAACGATTCTGTTGGCTCCTAGGTTTTGAAGCTGATGAATCTAGGGTTAATCCCGACACCATTACCGTCGGGCAATTATTTCCGATGTTCTACAATATGGGTTACACGGAGATTCTCACAATGGTCACAAAATTCAAGAAATCGTGTCTCCCTCCTCCATGGAATGGTTTCTTCACCATCCAATTCAAAGGGCTCTCTGAGCGTAGTTCTGGTTCTGATGGGGCCAGCAAATTGTTTATGACCATACTCTATGGTCTATATCACGACCTTAACCTCGACTATGGCTCGGTTCTATGGCAGCAACTTATTCAGAGCCTAGCCTCCTCCTCTCGCCACACTGAGGTATCCTACGCCAAGTTCTGGACGCTCATCACTAAGTGGGCCATGGATAAACTTCATGTTCCTACTGTGGCAGGTTCCCTTCTCTCCACCATCAACGTCTTCCACACCACCAAAATAATTGTCACCGATCCGACAAAATTTTCTTTCGTCGGATCCATTCCGGACTCTATGTCCGCTGGGGTGTCCAAGGAGAGCATCATCATGAAAGCCTACAAGGACTTTCGTCCTTCGGGCCCAAGGGAACTTTCTGCTGAAATGGTTCAGTCCATTAATGATGCAGATAAACCTGCTACTAGAGGGAAGAAACCCGAGCAAGGGAAGATAAAGAAAGGAGCAAAGGGGGCAAAGGGTCCATTTCCTAAGAAGCGAAAACCCTCAAAACCAGATCTTTCCCCACCAGCGAAGAAGAAGAAAGTCCAACCCAGGAGAAAACTTATTCTCTCTTCTTCCTCCAAAGATTCGGAAGAGAACCATTCTGACTCATATGAGTCAGCTAGAGGTGAAACTCCGCCTCACTCGCCTGGTCATGAGGTACATGTTTCATCAAAACCTCCTTCCCCTTCTCCTATACCCACCTCTTCCATTCCCATAATAACCTCCTCCATTTCCATTCCCTCCATATCTAACCCTATTTCTATTCCCCCCATAACTACTTCTCTTCAAACCACAACAACCAGCCTTCCCCCACCACTTTTTACAGAAGCCACCACAACTACCACCCGTGAGGTTCTAACCAACGTATCTAATACGGGGGTTTCTACTTCACAGCCTGAACCTACTTCTGCTCCCGAACCCACTATCACTACCGAACCACCAACCGCACCCTTATCTCCCACTCCATCTGCTGAAACCGAAACCTTTCTGGGAGGGGAGGATACAGTTTTTGACTCCATCTACTACAGCCCCTATCAACTTCAGAGTGATGATGATGATGATGCTCCGGTCACTAAAAAGCACATCAAGGAACTCCACGAGAAAATTGACAATATCGTGGCTTCTTCTTCTTCCTCAACATCTCACTTTTCGGAGGCTGCTATTCAAGGTATGGTGGAGTCACTCTCCAAAGCACATGAAGCCTCTATCAGCTCAGTTGCTGCTGCCACTGATAAATCTACAAAGGCTAGTGCTGTAGCGACCGAAAAAGTCGAAAAACTATTTCAAGATGCCCAGATCTGGCTGGAGTCTTTACAGGCGGCATCAGAGACAAACACTAAAAAGATCTGCACCGTTGTGGAGAAGCTAGTCCATTCCTTCAAAACTGAAAAAGATAGTTTGCCAGCTTTCGCCAAAAACTCAAAGAAGATAACCAATCATTTCAGTCTTCGGTTGCGGATCGTCTTCTTTCCTTCCAAGCCACTCTTGCCGCCGAATCGACCACAAAGGAAGAGCTTGACCGGCAGTCTTCCGAGCTTACCTTGGCAACTCATCAGCTCTCCCAAGCCGAGAAGGAGATTGATTCTCTTCGGTCCGAGAAAGCTGTGGTCAAGAGTTGTGTTTCAGATGTCCACGGAGCTCTATCTAACATCATTGAAGCCCATGATCTGATTCTCAACTATTCGGTGAGGCGTAGTCTTGCAGAGAAGCTCGCTCCTGCTCTTGCCCTGCTTATCCGTATTGAAGGCATTCTTGAGTAGGAGGACCATCCGAAACAAGGGGGAGAAAAGAAGTCCACAGCTCAACAAAAACCCCCTCCAAGTTCCAAAGCTCAAACTATTCCATTTTCATCACTTGTCCCTCCAAAAGCACCCAAACCAACATCTGGTCCTTCATCAGGTTTGAGTGCTCAAACCAAAGCCAAACAAATTGCCGACGACAGTGATGAAAGTGATGATCAAGAACCGATTGTCAACTTAGTCAGGAAGCAGACCAGAGAGAGAGAGCTGGATGAAAATGCTCGCATCGTCAGGGAAGCCGAGGCCAAGGAGAGGAAGATAAAGGAGGCTCATGATCTCCTTGAAAGCAGGAAAACTTTGTTTCCTCCTTGGACTCTCGAAGTGCTTATCAAAGAAGCCAATGAGTCCCCTTGCACTCTATGGCTAGAACCGGTCATCTCCTTAGACCGTGTCAATTCGATTGATTCCCAGTTCGATATGCCCCTGACCCGAAAGGTCTTCATCTTCCATGCGTTCTCTCATATAGCTGAAGTTCCCCATCCTCACCCGAAGGTGGATAGGGAGCTTATAGACTATTACCTGAGGACTGCTCAACCTCAGTACCAAACTTGGAGCGCACAGAAGATAACCAACGTTCGGCTACTCAAACCTATTCGTGAAGGTAATTTTGTTAATGTTAGATTCAAGGTCTTGAGGGGATCTGAAAAATCTGAGTATTCTATCTCTCTGGCTGATCTTCCCAACCTTAACCCTCACGATTGGATTGTCCTGCACAACATTCTTCTTGTCAATGAAGCTGAATATGGTTCGATCATAGACCATTTCAAGAGAATGTTAGTTTGATATATTTTGGAGGTGGCTAAGCTTGATCAAGAGGTTGCTAATGTTCTGAGGAAGAAGCCCATCATCACTCCAGTCGGTTCTACAAGCAATATAAACCGAATGAAGATGGGAAAGCTTGATCCAAAACAGAACTCAGTCATGTTCACCAGAGCAGAAGGTCAGAAATACCTGTTTGCTTTGGCTGACAAACATCTCTACACTACTACCTGTCTGGAGCATGTTCTGGGTATAATCAATCGTTGCAAGCAGAACTCGGATAGTGATAAAAAGTACTTCAATGATATGATAAACTGGTACATTCACTTCCGATAAACACTTCTTGCTATCATCCCCTGCCTGTTCAAGACCGTCAAGAAAGCCAGTGCTGCGGGGGCAAGCAAGTTGGAATGAAGTCTCGCCCCAATTGACGCAAAGGGGGAGATTGTTGGGTACTTGGTGTTGCGTCTTGGGCTCGCTTCCTAGCCCATCTTTTATGCGGTATGGGCCTGTCCATCCGTATCTTATTTTCTATGGTTTGTGTATTAATAGATGTTTGCATGCATCTTTTTAGTAACTGATTGATCAGGGTTTTTACAAGTAATTTAAGAAGATATCTTTTTGTAACCCTAGAATCCTCTACAGCGGAAGTTCTTTATCGAGCTCTGCTGAGGATTGAAAGTTCTAATCATTCAACACATTCAAATCCATTCTTGAGTATTGTTTCATTGCTTTACATTATTTATATACCTGTTACAAAGATCTAATCGATCAAAGAGATTTTAAATCTCATCACTATCGTCAAGGCGCCTTATCGCCTTGCGCCGCCAGAGATGCAGGAGTTATCCTCGCAGCCTCAAGAGCTGCTGGGGAAGGGGTTTATTAGATCGAGTAGCTCATCATGGGGAGCACCGATCCTTTTTGTCAAGAAAAAGGATGGTTCACACCAGATGTGCATTGATTACTGGGAATTGAACAAGTTGACGGTCAAGAACCGTTATCAATTACCGAGGATCGAAGATCTGTTCAAGTAGTTGCACGGAGCGTCTTGGTTCTCCTAGATAGACTTGAGGTCTGGATATCATCAAATGAGAGTGCAGGATGAAGATATCCAGACGACAACGTTCAGAACTCGTTACGGGCATTACGAGTTCGTGGTGATGCCTTTTGGGCTCACCAATGCACTGGTAGCATTCATGGATCGCATGAACAGGGTGTGTAGGCCGATGCTGGATCGATCGGTAATCATGTTCATCGACGATATTTTGGTATATTCAAGATCTAAAGAGCATCACGAGGAGCACCTGAGAGATATTCTCGGGGTATTAAGGTCGGAGAGGCTTTTCGCAAAATTCTCTAAGTATTATTTTTGGTTAGGAGTTGTCTAATTCTTGGGACACCTCGTTAACCAGAATGGGATATTGGTCAACCCGGCCAAAATTGAGGTGGTTATGAGGTGGGAGGTGGCCAGATCACCCACCGAGATTAGGAGTTTTCTAGGATTGGCTGGCTACTATCGGAGATTTATCAAGGATTACGATTGTGAGATCCTGTACCACCCAGGCAAAGCTAATGTTGTAGCTGATGCGCTGAGCCGTAGGGTAGAGAGTGCCCCAATTCGAGATATTTGTATGTGATTGATGGTCATGAATCTGGTGTTGGACACCATTCGAGAGGCCCAGGCAGAGGCCATATTACCGGAGAACCACAAGATAGAGCGGGTGATCGGGCAGATACTTGAGTTCGTTACCGATAGTCGGGGGCTTTTGACCTTTCAGGGTCAGATTTGGGTGTCGTTTAGAGGTAGAGCACACACCATTTTGATGGAGGAGGCGCATAAGTCAACGTTTTCGATCCATCCCGGGGCCACTAAGATGTATCTGGACCTGAAGAGAGAGTATTGGTGGCCCTGTATGAAAAGGGATGTAGCGTGGTTTGTTGAGAGGTGCTTGACCTGTCGCAGGGTTAAGGCTGAGCACCAGCGACCGCATGGCAAGTTGCGGCCACTTGAGGTTCCCCAGTGGAAGTGGGAACAGATTTCTATGGATTTCATCACCAAATTGCAGAGGACCATGAGGGATGTCAATGCAATTTGGGTGATCGTCGACCGATTGTCGAAGAACGCTCACTTCCTTGCTATTAGTGAGAGCTCTTCTACGGAGAGGCTGGAAGAGTTGTATGCGAGGGAGGTGGTATTGCGGCATGGAGTATCGATATCGATTGTGTCAGATCGAGATGTACGCTTCACTTCTAGATTCTGGAAGAAGCTCCATGAGGAGTTGGGTACGAGGCTGCATTTTAGTACCGCTTAACACCTACAGATGGACGGACAAAGTGAGCGGACGATTCAGACGCTCAAGGATATGCTCTGAGCATGTGTGTTGGATTTCGGAGGAAGTTGGGACACATATTTGCCATTGGCTGAGTTCTCATATAACAACATCCATCATTCGAGTATTGGTATGCCTCCCTTCGAGTTCTTGTATGGGAGAAGGTGTCGGAATCCCATTTTCTGGGGAGAGGTAGGGCAGCGAGTGATGGATAACACCGAAATAGTGCTTCAGACAACTGAGCAGATACAACAGGTCAGGCAGAGATTGTTGACCAGTTAGAGTCTCTAGAAGAGTTATGCAAATAGGCGATGGTCCGAGCTCGAGTTCCAGGTAGGAGATTTTGTGCTCCTGAAAGTATCTCCTTGGAAAGGAGTGATCTGATTCAGGAAGAGGGGCAAGTTGGGGCCTCGGTACATTGGTCCATTCAAGGTGATTGCAAGGGTGTGCAGAGTAGCTTATCGTTTAGAGCTACCCGAGGAGTTGATCCAGATTCATGATACCTTCCACGTGTCCCAGCTAACGAAGTGTATCGCTGATGAGATAGTAGTGGTGCCACTAGAGGACATTTAGGTGGATGCGAGCCTGAATTATGCTGAGAGGCCAATCGCGATTGTGTATCAAAAGATCAAGGTTTTGAGGAACAAGGAGGTGCCCCTGGTTTAGGTCCAGTGGCAACATCGAAGAGGGTCCGAGCTGAGTTGGGAGCTGGAGTCGGAGATACAGAAGCAACATCCAAGGTTATTTAAGGCACGAGACTTCGTGGGCGAAGTCTGGTTCTAGTGGGGGAGAATTGTAACATCCCGAAATTCAGGTACAACCATTTAGTCCTTATTCTTTTTCAAGTTGTCAAGATTATTCCCTAAAGTAATGTTATAATCGATGAGTATGCTGGTCGTACTGAGGAGTAAGTTGTGTGTACTCATATGCTTAAGTTGGACGTGGACTCGCCTAGGTACGCTGGGCATACCCAGGGTAACGTTGGGCGTAGCGGGCCCAGATGCAAACCCTAATTGTGGCTTGTGGACTATAAAAGGAATGTGTTGGTCATATCTCCAGCCACCATTCCTCAGAGAGAAACCCTAAGAGAGTGATATTTTCGTTCCAAGCTAGTGTGTGAGGATTATTGAGCTAAAAGTGCCTTTTTGTGTTAGAGCAGAAGAAGAGGAGGCTCTTGTGGAGGCTAGAAGTTGGAGTGCAAGCTTGGATCTGAGTTCTATAGAAGAAAAAGCTTCATTTGGAGGTAAAAAGATCAGATCTTTCCTTGTTATTGTTGATTTGTGCTTCATGGACTAATTTTTAGGGTTTTTGGTCCCAAGGTGAAGACTTTATGAGCAAAAGGTCTCCATCAGCTTAGATCTACTCTATTCTAGAGTATTATGAGTTGTGGGTTCATAAAAATCAAATCCTGAACGTGAATAGTGATCCATGCATGAGATCTAGACTTTATGAGGAAAGAGGAAAGGTGTTAGAGTGATTAAGGACCTTTACAGCCATGCAAAGGCTTAAAGGTTTCGACTTTATGGATTAAGTGGCGAAGTCAGATCTGAAATATGAGTCTTTTTCTTAACCGATTAACATCCAAAAATCAAAGGAGCATGAAATTAGCATTTACGCGGGGCGTAATCCCAGTACGCGCAGCGTAAAGGGTCACGTTCCCCATTTTTGTGACGTCACCGGGTACACCCATCATACAGATTTTTACACGCATCGTAACCCGAAGGGTTGAATTTTTTGACTTTTAGGGTTTAGTCAATGATTGGATCCTTGAGCCATAACAGATGGAAAATGGTCTTTTACCCTTCTGGGAGAACCTAGAGAGGGATTATTCTATCCTTGAGAGTTATATTGACTGGATAAATTCTTCCATGT